GCATAGCTTTTAAAAATGATATAACAATAATCCCAAGTTCCCTTTCCTACTTTGTTGATTTGCTATAAAAAACGACAAGCAATAGTTTTAGGAAATCTCCATTTCCATTTCTGCATTGTATCTGGTTCAAATTCAATGTTTACACAAGTACCACAATTTATACATTGCAATTTAGAATAGACAAAAGTAGGTGTTTCTTTAGGGAAGGGCATTTTAGTTAAGTATATCTGTTTCATTTCTATGGAAGTCAGGAACAGACAATTATTTCTAGTAAGTCAAGGTAACACAGCTAATGACTAGACAAAAGAAAACCTGAGGATGCTCTGGATAACCCTTAAATGGTCCTTAAGAAAAAATGAGACAATTAAATTCACTATTTATTAACTATCTACCCTACACAAGTTGAGAGGTTGTGGATGAGAAGCATTGTAACATTTTGCAAAACATCAGTTTTGGAGGCAGGAAGTCCTAGTTTGAAGTTTCATTTCTGACACTGGCTATTTGACCTTGGAGTCATTCAACTTTTCATTGGTTGTCGAGGGGATTTCCTCACTACACAGATGAAATCAGAGGTTAGGACAAAATATATACGGCAATAAACTAGATGATGAGAACAGCAAAATATATTTACTTATGTGTTCAATGTTGCAACCCCTCAGTAGAATGATGCTAGGTCTGGTTTACTTTTGTTATTCCCAGTTCCTAGGTCTGTACAGATGCTTGATGCTTGTTGAATTTAACAATCCTTGCTTTAAGTAACATGTGTAATTTTATAAGGGAGTATGATGTGGGCAAAGGAGTGATCAACCCTATACTATGGGAAAACTTGAGGAGGGGTGAGGGAAAAATCATAAGGATTCATTGAAGAGCTGATACTTAAGTTGTGAAGCAGAAATGAAGAAATAAATTCATGGACGTGTGGCAAATGCATGTTCAGTCCAGGAAACAACTAGTTCATAGAACACTCCAGTGTGTGAAGGGAAATAAACATGAAATCGGTATGGAAGCATTTGTTGGAGCTAGATTGTGAAGGCCCATAAATGGCAGGGTAAGGAGTTCATATCTTAGGGAATCCAATGGAATCTTTTCAGAAGGGAAGTAATAGTCAGGTGACTTAAGATTATTTTGCCACTGATAACTCCAAAGGACTCCTGATGAAAAATGCTATGCACCAGAGCTTATAAAACTCTTCAGTGCAAACTGAAGCATGTTTTTCTACTTTTTCTTTTTTTTTGGCAAGTGTTAAATTTAATACGGGAAATGTTTTCCATTACTTCATATATATAATGGGTATCATACTGCTTGCCTTCTCAATGGGTGGGGTAGGAGCTGGAGAAAGAGAATTTGGAACTCAAAATTTAAAAAAAAAAAATGAATGCCTAATAGATGCAAAATACTTACCTGGAGCAAAAAAAAAAAAAATTCTGCTTCATTTGAATAGATCGGGAAGGAAATGGGTTCAGTTCCAAGAATGCAGTTAGAAGACTATTACAGTAGTCCAGCAAGGGTGATGAAAGTGGATAGAGCACCGGTCCTGGAATCAGGAGGACCTGAATTCAAATCCAGCCTCAGACACATAATACTTCCTAGCTGTGTGACTCTGGGCAAGTCACTTAACCACAACTGCCTCACTTAAAAAAAAAAAGTGACAGAGGTCTGAAATGGAGTTGTGGCCATGTGAGAGGAGAAAAGGTGAACGTGAAAGATTCTGTGGAAGTAGAATTGAGAGGCTTACAATCTGATAAAATGTTAAGGGTCAACTACAGAGAACAATTAAAGATGATTCTAAGTTTTCAAGCCCAAGTGAGTGGGAGGACACTGGTCCCATCAAAATCTACTCTTCAAGACCAGATACTTGGTTTTTAGTTTTCTGGGATTCTTTCGGAAAGGACATTTGTTTTACTTCCACAGGCAAAAGTGAAAGCTAGGATATCTACACCACCTTCTTTTTCTCAATTCTTTAACATTTTTATTTAAAGTTTTGAGTTCTAAACTCTATCCCTCCCCAAGATGGTAAACAATCGGATACAGGTTATACATGTGCAATCATGTAAAACATTTCCATATTAGTCATTTTGTACAAGACTCAAATAAAAGAAAAAAATGAAAGAAAGTGAAAAATTGTACGTTTCAGTCTGTATTCAATCAATATCAGCTCCTTCTCTGGAGGCAGATAGTATGCTTCATCATTAGTCCTTTGGGATTGTCCTGAATCATTGTGTTGCTGAGAATTAGCTAATTGTTTTTAAGGTGGATATCCCTAAAGCAGCAAAAACAAAAACAAAAACAAAAAAACCCACCCCAAATCATGGTAAATATAAACCTCTACAATTCAGTCAAAAAATTTATGCAAGGAAATAAGTTTATAAACAAATACTTAAGAGATATGGTCACTGCAAGTTAGAAGATCTGGGTTCTGGTCTCAGCTCTATTTTAACAAGTGGGGTAACTGTGGTCAAGTTACTTTGGCCCTCTGGGTTTGCATACTCACGTTGAAATAAGGAGGAGTCAGACTAAATGAATGAATGAAGTTCTTTCAAACTCGAAAATTCTATGATCTATAAAGTCTCTTCCTACTTAGTATTTCCTTTCCTTGCTCTAAATCACTATTCATTGGAGAAATGCCAATCAAAACAACTCTGGAGTACCACATCACACCTATCAGATTGGCTAACATGACAAAGCAGGAAAATGATAAATGCTGGAGAAGATGTGGTAAAATTGGAACACTAATGCATTGTTGGTAGAGTTGTGAAATGATCCAACCATTCTGGAGAGCATTTTGGAACTATGCCCAAAGGGGTATAAAAATGTGCATACACTTTGACCCAGCAATAACACTTCTAGGGCTATATCCCAAAGAGATCATAAAAAATGGGAAAAGGACCCACATGTACAAAAATATTTATAGCAGCTCTTTTTGTGATGGCAAAGAATTGGAAATTGAGGGGATGTCCATTAGTTGGGGAATGGTTAACAAGTTGTGGTATATGAATGTAATGGAATACTGTTGTGCTATAAGAAACGATGGGGGCAGCTAGGTGATGCAGTGGATAGAGCACTGCCCTGGAGTCAGGAGGACCTGAATTCAAATCCAATCTCAGACCAGACACTTGACCCTTACTAGCTATGTAACCCTGGGCAAGTCACTTAACCCCAATTGCCTCACCAAAAAAACAAATAACAAAAAACAAAACAAAACAAAACAAGAAATGATGAGCAGGCAGACTTCAGAAAAACCTGGAAAGACTTATATGAACTGATGCTGAGTGAAGTGAGCAGAACCAGGAGAACAATGTACACAGTAACAGCCACAATGTGCAAAGACTAACTTTGACAGATTCATCTCTTCTTAGTAATGCAAGGATCCAAGACAACTCCAAAGGACTCATGATGGAAAATGCTGTCCACATCATAAAAAAAACTTTTGAGTCTGAATGCAGATCGAAACACATTATTTGATCTCTTTTTTTTCTTTGTTTCTTCTTTCATATGGTTTCTCCCATTGATCCTAATTCTTCTTTACAACAGGACTAATGTGAAAATAGGTTCAATATGAATGTTTATGTATATAACAGACTGCATGCTGACTTGGGGTGGGGGAAGGGGAGAGATGGGGAGAAAATTTGGAATTCAAAATCTTATGGAAGTGAATATTGAAAGCTAAAAAGAAATAAATTTAAAAAATTTTTATGTTTAAAGGGGGAGGAAAGTATATTTTGGGCAATATTAACTAGAAAAATTCAATCTGGGTGGCAAATTTTATTTTAAAAAAATAAAGTTTTATAAATATCTTTCACATTTATTCTGATTTAAACAAACCTTTCTGAGACTGATAAAATCTATAAACACAATTCTTGATAAAAGCCAACAAGTCTATAAAGTCTTTCAGATACATTTTCATAGTGTAATTTTAGATTTTTAAATGTAACAGAACTGCAAGGAAAAAAAATCTGAATAAATAGATCTTTTTGAATTCAAGGTGTTAGTGTAACAGAATATTAAGTACTATAAAACGTTAACAGGTGCTGCTGAGATTTGATAAAATGATATGAAAAGAATAAGCATGGAATATTTTAACTTTCTGCTGAAATCTTTTACATATCATATTTGATAGTTGAATCACTTTTTTTTCCCTTATTCTTCAAGTTGGTGTGAAAGATAAATATAAGCAAGTAATGTTCTATTTATTGCTTAAAATCATCTACAACTTTAGTAGAGTCTCTGAAATTAAAGTGTAATGGGAAATTTAATGAATGAGTAAAAATGAGAAAGCTTACCAATCAGCCACCGGTAGTAAATTTGGTATGTAAAGAGAAACTTAAATTTGTAAACTTAAGTACCATTTTGGAATTATTTTTTTCTTCTGGATAGATTTCCAAAGAAAAATAATGAATAAAAAAAATTCATGCCACAAACTGCATATTCATTCCTGAAGCCTTATAACTTACATAAGATTCAAGGGGCCTTTGTGGTATTTACTTTAGGAAATTTTTAAAAAACTAAATGTGAGTATGTTCCCCATACTTAAGCCGTGAAACACAAGAGGAAACCTTCTCAAGTGAAAATCCTAGATTGGAGAATTAACTCCACCAGGCTCAGGTTCAGGAGTACTTTGATGATTAGTCTAGTACTTATTTTTGGTAATCCAGAGAATCATTCCTAGCAACACTTTCCTTACTCCAGGCACACCACAAAGATAAGAAATACTTTTTCTTCTTTCTAGTCAACAATTCCCACAGAGACAGTTGTATATCCAGATTTCAATCTTCTGGATGTCTGCTTCAGGAAGTGACAAATGTCTTACAGAAAGACTGCTATCTCATCAGAAAGTGCCTTCTTAGGTAATGCTGAAACCTCTGATGTGCACATATGCATAATGTTCGTTAAAGTGTTCATTTATCAGCAATCAGAAAACAGTTAAATTCAGTAAGGAAAATTATAATTTTCCTTTTCAATTTCTTAAAGGTAAATATAGAAACCACAAGAAAACAAAGACATAGCTTATCCAATTGCATTTTACTAATGCCCATTCTATGAACATATTATAAAAGAAAAAAAGGACAAGTTCATTTTACATGATGTATACCATAGTGAGTATACAGCTCAAAGGCTTACAACACACCAACCCATCTTTTTTCAATTTTGAAAGAAAAGGTCTTTGGATTGTCAAAAACTCTTGAACAGCTGAATTCTTATGACAATGCAGGAATGAAATATTGAAGGGAAACATCCTCATGTAGCAAAATAAAGTGAACAATCCGGTTATGCACAATATCTGAAAGAAAAAAAAAAGCAACATTTTAAAGAACTGTTCAAGTACACACACTAATGTATTTCCCTGTGTATTATAACACCTTGCTCCCAAATGAAGCATTACTTTTAAACAGAAATTCTTTCTCTAGGTTGCAATCATCTTTCTTTCAAATACAAGTAATGTTTAGTAATGTCCTGCAGTAAAAACATTAATCAATAGCATCTACTTCCAGATGCCACACTAAAAGCACACCAATCAAAAGGAAACTTTGTAATGTAATGATAACATTCCCACAAAAATAAGTAATTCCTAAGGGCCTAGCCATATACAGAATAGTGAAATAATAGATGTTTATAATGATGAACCTGAATTATTATAAGGTATACTTTTTCTACAATTTAGTCGTGATTAGTCATAAAATACAAACAGAGGGGAAAAATATAGGGACACTCATCTGGTCAGATTCTGGATACTACCAGTATTTAAAATGATAAATTCACATACTAAGTCCTAGGGAAAATGAACATAAATTAAAAACCTATCTGTCAGTGAAGCAATAGTCCCATTTCTAAACTATTAATAATGACAAAGCTATCCAAGAAGAATGGAAGAACCAAATATTATACCCAATACACCTTCACTGTGTGGTTAACGGAACAGAAAGAAACAATCACTCTCATAGGGTGGCAACAGTTATAAAAGCTCAATAAAAAAAACTCAATAGTATGAGAGAAGAGGCTCCTAATTACAGGACAGCGCTTCAATCTGGAAAAACAAACAATCATCTAGCTTTAATAACTCCTATGGGAATGACTGTGCCACAATAACAGCACACAAACCACAAGACAGTTCTATAATGTATGTGTGTACATATATTGGGGCTTGGGAGGAGGACCAGTGATAATTCTACAGACCCAGCTGTGGTTCTTCAGTCGTGTCCCACTCTTTGTGACCCTATTTGGAGTTTTCTCAGCAAAGTTTGGAGTGGTTTGCTACTTCCTTCTCCAACTCATTTTACAGATGAAAAACTGAGACAAATAGGGTTAAGTGACTTTCCCAGGGTCAGACAGCCAGTAAGTGCCTGAGGCCTGACTTGAACTCAGGGCTTCCTGACTCCAGACCTGGCACTCTATCTACTGCACCACCTGGCTATCACAGACCCAGTAGTCCACTTTACTAAAGCACAGTATAATGACTGATGCTTATCCCCAAACCATCAATGAAAGGCTCAACTTGTTCATGGTAACACAAGGTAGCATTTGTCAGAAGCAGGACATGAATCCATATTTTCCTGGCTCCATGGACAACTCTCTACACATTATGCCATTTGCAGTAAAGAAAAAAAAAAAAAAAAAAGTTTCAACATGTAAAGAATTCAACTTACAATGGTGCTATAATAGGCAGAGACAACAGAAAACAGTGGGAAATGTAGTCAGAGAAAATAACAACTTTGTCACCAAGTTCCTTTTATGATGAAACTAAAATGGGAGTAAAAATTATGTATGTCACCAGTAGTAAAGAAATCAAACTATTTATGAGAATATTTGGGACTGGAATATATAGCTTTTATGGAATTCAGTTGCTACCTTCATCTAGCTTAAATATAGTAAAACTTTAGCTATGCTGAACCCCCAAGAAATGAGCTATTTTTTACAGCCATTTTCTTGAGACCTAAAATTACCCATATGCTAGGACACAGGGTTGAATGAGGATAGATTCTAGCAGGGGACTTGAACTGTGCTTTTCTAAACAAGTTTCTGATACCAGGTTGCTTTTTTGTTATTTACTTCTTTCTCATAAAGATGGAAACCTCCCATGGCTCCCGCTCGCCTCAACCTCTCAGCTAAGAACTTTGCTTCGTATTTTACTAAAAAACTTGAGGCAATTCACTTTTTCTCCTCTCCTTTCATATCACCCAGATATCTTCTGCCACTATATCCTCCTTCATTCTTGTCTCACATGAAAAGATGTTCTTTTTTCTTGCCAAGGCAAACTCCTCTAACACGCTCAAGAGATCCCATTTCTATCCTTGATCTTTCTAATAGATTACCTCTTCCATTATCTCCACTCTCATCTTATCTTCAGGCTCTCCCTGACCACTGGCTGGTTCCCTACTGCCTACATTCTCAGAAAAACTCTCACTTAATCCATCCATTCCAGCTATTATTCTCTATCTCACCTCCCTTTCTTGACTAACTCCTTGAGAAGGCCATCTACAATTAATGCCTCCACTTCTCCTCTCACTCTCTTTTTACTCTACAATCTGGTTTCCAAACTCATCATTCAACTGAAATTGCTTTATCTAGTTACTAACTATATCCTAATTGCCAAATCTAATGGCCCTATCTCAGTCTTCATCCTTCCTGACCTGTCAGTAGCCTCGGACACTTGTCAACCAGCCTTTTCTTGAAACCCTCTTCTCTCTACTTTTCCTGACACTAACTTCACTTGGTTCTCCTCCAACCTATCTGACCACTCCTTGGTCTCCTTCACTGTATGTTCATCCAGGTCATGCCCTCTAACCATGAGGGTCTGTCCTGAGTCCTCTTCTCTTCTCCCTTTATACTATTTCACTCGGTGATCTTTTCAGCTCCCATGGGTTCAATTATCAGGTCTATACTGGTTATTCTCCAACCTACTTATCTCTGCTGACTTCAGTCTCACATCTTCAGCTGCCTATTGGACATCTTGAACTGGATGGCCTACAGACATTTTAAACTCAATATATCTAAAAATTAACTCATTATCTTTTCCTCTAAACCTTCCCTTCTTCACAACTTCCCTATTACTGTTAAGGATGCCACCATCCTCCAAATTACCCAGGCTCACAATCTAGGTGCGACCCTTAACTCCTCACTTTCTCACTCCCTAGATCCAAAGCTTATCAATTTTACCTTTGTAATCTCTCTCCTGGGCAGCTATGTGGTGCAGTGCATAGAGGACTGGGCCTGGAGTCAGTACAAGTTACTTAACCCTGTAGAGAAGGTAGAGGAGAGGGCATTTTGGAGGGATATAGTTGTTGATGAGTCATTTTTCAGTTGTGTCCGACTCTTTATGACCTCATTTGGGGTTTTTCTGGCAAAGATAATAGAGTGGTTTGTCGTTTCCTTCTTCAGCTCATTTTACAGAAGAGAAAACTGAGGCAAACAGGGTTAAGTAACTTGTCCAAGGTCACAAAGTTTAGTAAGTGAGGTCAAATATGAACTCAAGAAGACTCATCTTCCTGACTCCAGGCCCAGTGCTCTATGCACTCAGCTGTCCAGAGAGATTTGAAAGGTAAAACTGATAATCAAATAACAATTATTAAGCACCTACTATGTGCCAGGCACTGTGCTAAGTGCAGGAAAAAAAAGCAAAACCGTCTTTGCCCTCAAGGAGCTGACAATCTAATGAGGGAGACAACAGACAAACAAATACATACAAAGCAAGTTATACACAGGGATAAATAACAAATATTTAAAGGAGAGAAGGTACTGGAATTAAGAGGGATCGAGAAAGGCCTCCGGGAGAAGGTGGGATTTTAGTTGGGATTTAAAAGAAGCCAGCGAGGTCAGTTAGAGTACAGGAGGGAGAGTCTTCCAGACATGGGAGACAGCCATAGAAAATGCCCAGATGGAAGACTCAGAACATCTTGTTCATGAGACAACCATGAGGCCACTGTCACTGGATTAAAGAGTATGTGTTGGGGAGAAAGATGTAAGAAGACTAGAAAGGTAGGAGGGGGCTAGGATATGAAGGGCTTTGAAGGTCAAACACAGCATTTTGCTTTTAATCCTAGAGGCAAGAGGAAGTCACTGGAGTTTATTAAGTAGAGTAGAATAACATGGTCTAACCTGTATTTCAATTCAATCACTACTTTAGGGGCTAAATGGAGAATGGAATGAAGTGGAAAGAGACTTGAGGCAGGCAGACCCACTAGCAGGCTATTGCAATAACCAAGGCACAAAGAGATGAGGGCCTGAATTAGAGAGGTAACAGAGTTGGAGGAAAGAAGGGGGTATTTTTGAGAGATGCTGCCAAGGTGAAATCAGCAGGCCTTGGCAAAAGTTTGGATATAGGGGTGGAAGAGATGGGTGGGGAGTGATATAGTGAGAAATTCGAGATTCCTAGGTTCCAAGTCTGAGAGACTGGAAGGACAGTGTTGCTCTCTACAATAATAAGGAAGGTAGGAGGAGGGAGGGTTTAGGTGGAAAGATAATGAGCTCTGTTTTGAAAGTAATGAGTTTAAGATGTCTACAGATAACCAGTTTGAGATGTATAAAATGTAGTAGGAGACTTGAGATTGGAGGTCAGCAGATAGATTAGGGCAAGATAGGCAGATTTAAGAATCATCAGCATCAGAAATTATACATGTGTGACACAGTGCCCATCTACCTTCACTATTCTAAAAATCTGTGCCAGAGTGATTTGGAGAGAACTTATCCTAAGATTTACAAAAACATCATCAACAACATTATAAGAAGACACACCATGCCACAATTTTCTTCACTCTCTCCTTAATGTCTGAATGAGCAGCATTCTAGGCAGACACATTAAAAATAAGATCTTTAGGTATAAGATCGAAGTGCTTGCAAAGGCTATCAATTTTCATGAGGAATCTCTTCTTTAATAACATTTCATTTTCTTAACTTTGATCCAATTTCAGTCACCATATTTTTTTGTCCTTTTTTTTTGGCGGGGGGTGGTGGTGGTGTAACTACCAGTGGTATGGAGATATGCTCCTCAGGCAAAGAAAATAGTAAAATATTCCTAGGTGCTATATCTTTAGGGAAAATAATGCAATTGATAGGCAAGAAAATTATATCAGTTATCCAAAGCTAAGACTATAATTCTGAAAGTATCTTCCACTGAAGGCATGGAATTTAGTTGACTTTTTTCTTTTAAATAAATGCTTTAAAAAAATCTACTCTTTCATTAACTTGTGCTATATAGGTTAATATGCAAATGTTCAAAAACCTAAACAAGGGGTTTTAACCCTTGGGAATTCGTATATAAGATTTTTCAGGGAGGAGAGGAATTTGGATGAGGGGAAAAATTCAATCTTTATTTTCATAAACCTTTAACTGAAATTTATTTTAAATTCTGAGAAAGGCATCCATAGATAACACCAGACTACCAAAGGGGTCCATGACACACAAAAAAAGTTAAGAACCTCTGCCCCAAAAGGTAGAACAATGATATTTTTAAAACAAAGAATCTGTTATATGGAAATCTGAAGATTTTGAGAATATAAGAACCTGGCCAGCCTTCATATTCTACCTAAACCCAAAGTGGGGGGTGGAAAATCAAGAAGGGACCAATTTGGTGGTACCCTGTCAATGCAGAAGTTGGCAAGTATTGAAAAAAATGTCTCATTAGCCTGTGGTGCAAAATCAGTTCCCCAAAAAATCTTACAATGCTTCTGTAGACCCAAGGATTTACCTTTCAAAATCAAAAGCAGCTTTATGAAGCTTTTTAACGCTCTCATTTTCAAACAGCAACACTACTTTCCTAAAAATGCACTCAGTTCATTCCTGTTTTTGCTCATAAAACTTTTTGTCTTTGAAATGAGCCCAAGGCCAAAAATAAGGCTACCTTCATATCTTTTCACTATGATCCACTTACAAAAAACACAATCTAGGTACACCAATTTAGCATAGCACATGGCTGTTCCAGTTGATTTTCTTAAGCTGAATACAAGCCCCTAGTCTTGATGTATTGTAGATGAGATGAACAAATTACATATTGATTCACCAATAGTTTTTGCACTAAATTCTTCTCAGTTAGGTACAAACAACCACTGTCTAAGACTAGCACAACCTTTTAGCATTTTTGTCCTTTGTCTTTTAACAAAACAAAAAAAGCTGGAATCCATATAATAATTTGGCTTTTAGACATCTAGTCCTGTTGTGCTATTTTTATATATACTACCATAAAGATTTTAGTAATCTGCTATGGTTAGTTGATCACTGTCTTTTAATCGTTACAGTGAAGTCTGCCTAGATGCAAACATACACCTCTAAAGATGGTGTGTCTTATTTGATGCCTTCAAGGGCAATGCAGGGGACTGCTTCTCTTCTCTCCTACTATAGCTGCTCCAGCAGAACAGTCCGATGGCATCAGAGGTTACTAGTATACAGGAGTGGTTAGTAATGCCATTCCTCCTGTTTTTCATTCTACCCTCCAACTCCCTAGCCTAGTTCTATTGTTTGTGTTCTTACCTCTGGTCCTCTTCTCCCCAATGTGAGGGCTAGTAGTTTGCCCTGCCCACCGCTGATTGAACCAAGCTCTCTAGTGTTGCTTCTTCCACATTACTAGGTTCTCCATGCAGAAATGCTATCCTTACAGTCAAGGTGAGATATCTAATCCTTCTGTCTTTTAATGTTCTCTCCATGACTCTTCTCTGTTACAGCCCCTACTGCTACTAGATGTTCATTCCTTCATTCAACAAACATTAAATGTCTACTATGAGTAGGTGTATGAGGCTCAATGAGTGTTTTGCTGTCAAAAAGATTCTCCTCCATCCCTTACCCCAACTTCTTAAACCAGAAATGTTCCAGAAAGCTGGAACAAGGTTGAATTCCAAACAGCTGAGATTTGACTACATTTTTTAGAAATATGCTCTGGACTGGTATCGTTTAAAGTATATTACACACAGAAATGGAGTAATGAAGCAAACTCACTACATAATGCTTTTGTTGGGTTTACTTGCTGTCCCGCAAGAAACTGTAGAAGCTTCTTAATATCTATTCGTGCTTCGGCCATGTTCTCCGAATCTCTATCTTGAGAAGCATCTTCAGAGGCTACAATAATAGAAAAAGCCTTTAAACAAAATGATTACTATTCATTTATTATAGGACAGACTAGGCTAAATATGTTCAAAGGAACAGGGACTAGATCTATGATTTCACTAGTACAGGGAGCTCTCTTGTTGAGGAAATTCCCTCTAGCAATGAAAAGTTCCCTAGAATACTAAGAGGTTAAGTGACTTACCCAGAGACACAGATGAGGAGTTTGAACCCAAATCATTCCAGTTCCAAGGCTAATCCTCTATGGACTGTAATATGGTGTCTTTCAAGTACAAAAGGGCTAGTTTTTACGTAGTTAAGTGGAATAACTATCATTCCTTTGGGTGTCATATGTATTTGTCTCTTTATCCTTGTCTTACAAGCATAATAGTAACTTGAAAATGCATTCCTTCTTCCAATCAACAAACAATTATGGAGTCCCAATTGTATGCAAAACAATATACTAGGGTCAAGGGATAAATATGAAAGATATGATCCATATTTAAAGGAGCATGTAATCTGAATAAATGAACTCATGCTATCTCCTTCAACAAATACCTTTTGAGTTAAGGAAAAAAAATGACTGACCTTTAGATTCAACCACTGAGTACTTCAAAGTATCTTGTTGATATGTATGTGATTAAGCCCTATGTAACTTGAGCAAACCACTTAACTTCTTAAGACCTCCAGGCAACCTTCTAAGACTACAAGTTACAGAGCAGGTGGTAACCTGCACTGGTACAGGAGTTTCCAAAAGAGTTTTCTACACTAACGAAATCACATATCTGGTTCAAAATAAATGTATGTATCTTATACAAAGACCATCATTGTGAGAGAGCAGGATGAAAAGAAAAGAATTTTTCAAGTCCTTTCTATATATTTTTTCCTTTCTATATTTCAAAATATCCTTTATTATTTATCTGGTTAATTCAGTAAGATAAAAAAATGTATATTTCAATGTGTTTTTTTACTCAAACTGGAATGATTACACAAATTATTCCATTTCTCCCTCCCTCATTACAAGTAAAAAACGCACTCAACCAGATTTCCAATTTAACATTTAGAGACCTCAATTAGATATATCATTTGCAAGTTTAACAAAAGCAAAGTCAAAGAAAAACCAGAAATCTTACCCCAGGGAGGATTTCCAAGATCTTTAAAATGTGTTGTAATACACACTAAATCAGTTTCTATTTTCAAGTTCATTTCTCCTTTTAGATTTGCTTCAATAACCTATGAATTATAGTTTGAATATATGATTTAAATCTTTAATCGAGTATAGGAAAAACAATTTAAGATACATGGTAATACCGTAAGCTTTTAAAATGATAAAAAACGAGGCATTTAAAGGCAAGTTTCTGCTATTGACCAGGAAACTCTGCTATGGGTGACAGAATGATTTAATAGGATAGAGAAGTGCATATGAAGTCAGAGGATCAGAGTCTACCAGCTCTGTAATTAACTTCTCTGGGCCTAAATTTCCTTGTTTGTAAAAGGAGGTGGTTGGATTTCATGTTCATTAAGGTACTGCCTAGCTCTAAATCCAATGATTTAGTCATAATCCAAAGAAATCTGTCAATTCTAAAGGGGAACTAAGATCCAGAGAATAATTTAGCCTGAAAAGATTATGTGGCTATTTTTCAGTAGTTAATCTTGAATGATTTTATAACATTGTTGAAAAGCTATGAACAGTTGACCCATTTACTTGGATTGGAATGAAGGAACTCTTAATTGCTCAACAAAAATAGGGCACATAGCTTTTTAATAGTGATATTAATTATAGGCATAGCTAGAAACCAATCAATATCCCAATCAACATCTATAAAAGTCCACAGTAGATTTCTGACTTAACGCTATTCTTTTACATGTGTGAAAAAACAAAAACAAAGCAACAAAAAACCCCAACTATACAACCAAACATATTTGTTGAATAGGTCAAAAGATTCAGAAATACAAGGGAGCCTTAGAGTCTAGTCAAACTTCATTTTTTACAGATCAAGAAACTGAGGCTCAAAGAGATTAAATTACCTGCCCAACATCATACCAATAATAAGAAACAGGACCAGGATTTGAAACCAGGCTTTCTGAAGTTAATGCCAGTTTTTTAAAACTTTAACACACTGCCTCTCCTACAGTGGCTATACGATATGGTACTGACTCTCAGGGAGCTTACCACATAGTTGACAAGAGTAAAAAACAATCACAGAAAAATAACTTAAACTTTGTGGGTTTTTTTTTATTCCTAGACTTTTGATTTCATAGGAGAAAAAGTGAGAAAGGTACCTCTACTAATGGAAATGGGTAACTGTTAAGAGTATCATATACTCTAAGAAAGTTACCTGAGGGCACTGAGAGGAGGTTAAATGACTTACTCAGGGCCTCATAGTCAGTACATATGACACCAACTAAAACTGAATGTTTTTTGGTTTATAAAAAGCCAATACACTTGCAAAGAATGAGTTTAAAAGTTTTAGAATTCCATGAAAAAGATAACCTTCATTTTAAAAATGAACTATAGAGTTTGAAATCAAATGTAGAGAAGCTTTAGGAAATATTTAAGATACTGGAGAATTAATTATAACTTCAAAGGCCAGAGATATTAACTGACCTTGATATCCACAATCCAACATCAGGGTATGATCACAAAAATAACTCACTAACAATTAAAAGACCTGTTAGTTTAAGCTACACCTTCCTATCTGTCTCTTTTTTGCCACCACCCCTCCCCCCTTGCATCAGGAGTGTGGGAAAGGAGGTGTGGGGAAGGAAAGAAGGAATGCTTGTCCTTTATATTCTTCTTAAAACCATTTCCTTTATTTCTCATATACACAGTCTCCTTTCCCCCTTCTCCAGTACTTCATTCTGCCAAAAGACCTCTATTTCTCTTTTTCATGTAACTTGTTCATTCATAACAATGGCTACAAATCACCATTTCACTCTGATAAAGAAGCACCACACTAAGTACCAAAAAAGGTAAGTGCCATCTTTCTAACCTTTATGAGCTGTGCTTACTCTCTCCAAGCACATGAAGAAAAATGGTTTTTTGTCACCGTATCACAAAATCTAGAAACTGAAGGTTTCTAGCTAAGTTTTGCAGTTAAAGGCAGAGAGTACCTGGATATACTGAGTGAAACTTTTGTTTTTTATTCTTAATTTTAAAAGTTGAAGATCCTCTCAGCCTTCATCTTCTTGAACTTTTCTGCAGTTCTACTGAATGCTAGAGATGTTCCTCTTACTTCCTTTTTTAAACAAACTTTCTCTTTTTTCAGTTTTGTTCTCATTCTACCCTTCTAACCACTTCTTATCTGACCCTTTCCTGCCTCCTCTTCCTCCCTCTACCCAAAGGGGCTGTTTTTCTTTATATCCTTTTACCTTGTGATCACAGTCATCACAACCACTTCCACTATGCTCTGTACAAAATAATTCTATAACCTTTTTCTTTAATCCTCACATTTCTTCTGATCTCTGAACCTGAACTTCAAAATTACCTGGCAACACATAGTTCTACCCAGCTGTGTTGCAAAGCTAACACATCAAACTCAACATGTCCAAAAACAAACATATTTATCCCAAACCCAATCTCTCTCCTCTTCACATCCCTTTTTTCTTTTACTTTCTCTCAGGCCTTAAGGCTAAAATAATCTTTTCAATAATTTCTACCTATTGTTTCTAGCTCTATCTTCAGAGGCCAACCTAAACAATTTCTTTCACGGGACAAACCTTCAAATAATTGAAGAAATCTACCATTTTCTGTTCTCCAGCTAAATATCCTCTGATTCTTCAACTGATTCTTGTGTTGCATGATTTAAAGCCCTCCTCTGGAGAAGTCCCTCAGTTTTTCCATGTTTGCTTGCTAAAATGCCCAGAACTGAACACAATATTTCAGAAATGGTTTAACCAAGGCAGGCTTTCAGGGCTATCATCTCTTTTGTCTGTACATTGTGTTTTCTACTGATACAACCTAAGATCCCATTAGTTTTGCTGGGTGAGTTGTCTTAACGTTGGTATATATAACATTTATGGTACACTAAAATCCCTATTTCTTCTCCACATGAAAAGCTGTCTAGTCATATCTTCCCTCCTTGTATTAGTAACTTTTTTAACCCAAGTGTAGAAATCTACATTTAATTCTATTAAATTTCATTTTATTAGATCTGGCCCAAACATTTGACAAAGTAACAGAAAGAACCCAGGACACAGAATTAGGAAAATTGGGCCCAAATCCTGGCCAACACTGTGTAACCATGAGTAAATCATTTATTACCTCAGTCCCAGTTCCCTCCTCTGCAAATAGGGATATTTTAAAATTACCAACCTAAGAAGGTTGTCTCTGTAAATCTGAAGGTGCTATACAAATATGGGTTATTATTATAACCTGTAAAGATCTCTTAGATTCCAATCTATTACTCAATTACTCTTACTTTCATGTCATTCACAAATTTTATAAGTATACCAATCATGCCTTCATTCAAGTCACTGTTTAGACATAAAGCCAAGGAAAGACCCCTGTGGTTGTCTAGGGGGAGGACTCACTCAACTACTAACAGTGATTACCTTTATTTCTTTCTATGACTCATAAACTATTCTTTTAATAATGAAATCTATAATTTTGCCAGGAATCTAAGTCAAGCTTAGCTGTCTACAGTTTGCCCCTTCATGAAAATAATATTTGCTCATCTCTAATTCCTAGAATTCCTTTCTCATTCTTTATAACTTTTCAAAATCTGTAATAGTCGCTCCCTAGTCCCATCTTCAAGTTCTTGCAGTACAATGAGATGGTCTCTGTCTGGTTGCTTAGTTACCTGGAACTCACTGAGGGAAAATAGGTCCTCTCTTATCATCTCTCTACTCCTGAGTTTCAATTCCTTACTAGCCACTTGTGTATTGCACTTCTTAGTCTAAAGGTTCTCTTTGGTAAGAAAAACAAAAGCATAACAAAAGATCAATCATCGGACTGCTCCTTTTTCCATCATCTCTATTCTCTCTACCTGAAGCAGAGCGAGCTCCTTTTCCCACTACTCTAATCCTCTTCTCTCCAATATAACTAAAACATATCTTCCTATTTCCATTAGAATTCACTGTAAGCTGTAAGTTACGCTGGCCTTTAGAATTCCTGACACTCATATAAAAACATTCCATTCTTTTCATTCATTCTTAGTTATCTTCTGTTTCCATTTTCTGTACATGTCTTTTTAAAATACAAGTTGTGTCTGGATGTGTGTTACTACATGTGTGTGTCACATTGAGTTAATGTGTAAGTTGTTTAGGCTGAATTGATTTCTTTCCTTCTTTTACCTTTTGCTTCAAGGGATGGTCACTGGGTAAAGGATATTAAAAGATATCAATAAAAACAGGTAAAAAAGAAAAGTTGGTCTATACAATGTATACTGCCTGTAGTTATGTAAATCTCTATAGAAACTGTCCTCTTACCTCAATGGAAAAATTTGTATTAGTCATCAGACTTTATCCTTGAGAGTATCTCATCTTCTTGCAGTGACTTTCCCTGCAAAATTTTAGACCATGGGATCCTGCCCATGCTTTCTGTGAACTCTTTGAAATTTTGAAATATTCTCTCCCAAAATCAAGGGTGGACATCAGAATACATTCAGCGTTCCTCTACTGCATTAGAAACTCTAAGTGCTAGGAATACTTACACTCAAGATTCTTAGCACTTCTTCTCTGGCTACCAATTCCTCTTCACTGGTCAGAACTACACCTCTTCATTTCCCTCATCTTGCCTTTTAGAATCCCTAACACTCTATAAAGCTCTACTTAAATGCCATCTTCTACAGTCGGCCTTTCCTAACCTTCTCAATGAAATTACTTGGTACTCAGCTTGTGTATACTTCTGTGTGTACGTGTTGACTCACCTGATAAAATCAATCAACAAGACAAAAAAATAAAAGTCTTAAGAATGCAACCACCCTGAGGGCAGTCTATGTACCCTGAGCACCTAGCACAACGCCTGGCACATAGCAGGCACTCAGTAAATGCTTTTTAATTACTTCTTCCAACTTAATAAAAATATATCTAAAAGACAAATAAAAAATTAATTAATTGCTCAGCTTTTGGCGAGCAAGAGCTCAGACAGATATCCAGGTAGTTAAATCCTTCCATCACAAATAGATTTTACTCTGATGTTGACTTTGTGATCTGCTTCTGGAGTGAATCTACTTCCTCCTTCTAGCTAGATGGTCTGGAGTAAATTACTATCATTACTACTGCCTCTGTTTTCCTATCCATTAATCCTAACTCAACTACTTCCCCTCTCAGTTAATGAATCTTCTCACATAATACCTACTACTCTGTATAATCTTTTAGATAATCTATTCCTTCCTTGGGCAGCTAGGTGGCACAGTGGACAAAGTGCCACATCTGCAGTTCGAAAGACCTGAGTCTAAATCTGGCTTCAGACATTAACTAACTGTGTGACCCTGGGCAAATTATTTAACCCTGTTTGCCTCTGTTTCCTCATCTGTAAAATGAGCTGGAGAAGGAAATGCCAAACCACTTCAGTATCTTTGCCAAGAAAACCCCAAATGGGGTCACAAAGAGAGTTGGACACAACTGAAATGAGTGAACAACAATTCCTTCCCTGCTATATTCTAGTTATAAGTCCCATCTTGCCAAGTCTCAGTAATACCTATGAGGTCAAATTTACCTCTTTTATGTTAAGCTCTCTAGTTCACTTTATTACATTCTACACATGTATATAGAAATCAAAGAGCATATTACTATACCCCTTTTTGGGCACTACCTCCTATGAATTGCTTAGCTTTTCCACTGCTATTCTTATGTGATGTCTGATATTTTCTGAATCAGCAGATGTATAAGACTCCATTTGCAGTTTTAAGTTCCCTTGGGCTAGACCTACAAGTCCATAGGCAAATAAATTCTTTCCAAAATCTGTTAGATGTCCTAAATCCTTTGTCATTTTTGTTTCATAAGCTGGGTATAGAAATTTAATTTCATTCTTTAACATCACCTTCCTAATCAACTACTCACTACAAATCCAAGTTATTCCCTTTCAAACTTCATTTACTTCAAGTAAAAGCAGCTGTGAAATATTTCAATCTTAAGCACAGGCTTTGATTTAGTCTGGAATAGTCTATGTACTGTGCTGCAACTCTAAACATGTAGAACCATGAGATAAACTGCATGTTTATAAACACATAAATATAATTTATACAAATGTTAATAGGCAATGTCAATGGCCTATTAAAAATTTACCAAAAAAATTATCTTAAATATTCCCCTAGACAATGAATTATAACTTACAACATGATTGCTGATGTTTTTCATTCTTTCCACTACACTCTTCATAGTCTTCAATACTGGTAAATATATACTAACCTACAAAAATCAATAGAATAAGCAAAAATAATTTAAAACAAACATAAAAGCCATAGTAAATGATAATAACATATAGAGATTTTAGACTTGGTTCAAATTTCAATTTCCTTCAAAAGGCACCCAGTGTAAATGATTTTTGTTTCTGAGATTACTTTCCATTTAAACTGTACATATCTTGTACTCATCAAGAATTTATTAAGCATCTACTATGAGCCATGCACTGTGTTAGTCCCTGCTCTAAAGAAGTTCAGTGTAATGGGGCAAACAACTTTGTAAAAAGAAGACATATTCAGAATAAATTAGAGATAATCAACAAAGGGAAGGAATTAGCATTAAGGGGATAGAGAAAGGTTTCTTGCAGAAGGTAGGACTTGAGCTAGGACCAGAAAGAAGCAAAGGAAGCCAAGAAATGGGATGAGAGAAGAGAGAATTCTAGGTCTGGGGGGCAGTCAGTAAAAATGAACAGAGTAGAGATATGTAGTATTTCATGCAAGAAACAGCAAGGAACAGCAGAAGCAGGAGAACATTGTACACAGTAACAGTCACACTGTGCGATGACTAACTTTGATAGACTTAGCTCCTCTCAGCAACGCAAACATCAAAGACAACTCCAGAAGACTCACAATGGAAAATGCTATGCACATCCAGAGAAGGAACGTGGAGTCTGAATGCAAACGGAAGTATACTATTTGTTCTCCTTGTCTTCTGTTGTTTTATTTTGTTTCTTCTTTCTCATGGTTCCTCCCATTACTTCTAATTCTTCTTTATATCATGACTAATGTGAAAATATGCTAAATATGAATGTATAAGTAGAGCCTACATAAGATTGCATGCCATCGTGGGGAGCAGGGAGGAGAGGGAGAAAATTTAAAACTCAAAATCTTATGAAAGTGAATGTTGAAAATTAAAAATAAATAAGTTACTTATTTTTTTAAAAGAAAGAAACAGCAAGGAAGTCAGTTAAGAAGACTGGAAAAGTAGGAAGGAGCCAAATAATGAAGGACTTTAAAAGCCAGAAAGGATTTTATATTTGATCTTGTAGTAAATAGAAAACTACTGATGCTTAGTGAATAGGGGAGTCATGCCTGCAAGTAAAAAAATTATTTAGACAAATAAGTGAAGAATGGACTGGAGTAGAAACTTGAGGTAGGAAGACCAACTAGCAGGCTATTGTAATAGTTCAGGCCTGCACTAGGGTAGTGGTAGAGTCAGAAAAGAGAAGAAGGAATATATGATTTACAAAGGTAGTACTGACAATACCTGCCACCTGATTGGATATTCGGGGTGGAGAAGAGTGAGCAGTTGAGGCTGAGATAAAGGTTTTGAGCCTGGGTGACTTAGAGGATAGTGGTATCGTAGGCTGTCATTAGGAAGGTAGAAGAGGGGAGGACTTGGGGAGAAAAGATAATGAGTTCAGTTTTGGACCTGCTGAATTTAAGATATCTAAGGGACACCCAGTTTGAGATATCCAACAGACAGCTGGAGAAGTGAGGCTGGAGGTCAGGAGAGAGGTTAGGGCTTGATAAATAAATCTGAGAATCATTAGCATAGAGATGACAACTGAATCCACTGAAACTAATGAGATCACCAAGCAAAACTGTATAGAGGGAGAAAAAAGAGGACCCTGGACAGATCCTTGAGGAATACCCATCAGTAATGAGCATGAACATATGAAGATTCAGCAAAGGAGACCGAGGAAGAGGGGTCCAACAGGTAGAACCAAGTGAAAAGAAGTCTCACAAAAACCTAGAGCAAAGAGAATATCTGAGTGACAATGTCAAAGGTTGCCGAGGGGTTGAGGACTGAGAAAGATGAGGACTGAAAAAAGGCCACTGCATTTGGCAATAGAGAGATCATTGATAACTTTATAGATAGTTGTTTCAGTTGAATGATGAGGTCAGAAGCCAGACTGCAAAGAGTTAAGAGAATGAGATGAAAGGAAGTAAAGGCATCAATTGTAGATGGTCTTCTCAAGTTTAGCCACATGTGGGGATGGAGGGGAAAAGGAATAAAGGACCATAGCTACTGAGGATGGGCTGATCAAGTGAGAGTTTTTTGAGCGTGCGCAAGTCATGGTCATGTCTATAGGCAGTAAGGAAACAGCCAGCACACAGGGAGATTAAAGATTAGTGAGAGTGAAAATGACAGGGGGAGTGATCTGCTGGAGAGGACAGGGTGGAATAGGTTTGCTTGTGCATGTAGAGGAGCTTTCTTTGGTAAGAAGGGTCATTTCTTCACGTGAGTCAGAGGAGGAGGGGGAAACTGTGGTAGAAATCTTAGTGATTTGAGATAATTGTTTGCATCCAGTCTCCCAAATTAGAAGGTGAGCTTAAAGTAGCATGTTTTTGCCATTTTTTGTATACAGTACCTGGCACATGGTAAAGCACTTAATAAATGCTTGTTGACTAAATCAGTGTTTGGCATATAGAAGACATCTAACAATTGCTTGGCTGATTAAAATCACAGAATTCTTGAGCTGAGAAATCATCTACTCCAACTCTTTTAACCTTTTATAAGGCTGTCTAGTCATGTCCAAATTCTATAATTACAAAGAAACCTAAAATTGTCATAATTATCTGTCTAGAATCCTTTTAGACAGACTATCTCAAGGTCTAAAGAACTCCAACATATTTTATGTTTTTGTTCTAATCTACTATTTCCTTATATATTTTTATCTAAGTAATTTTGAAACATCAACAAAAGAAAAGCTTATCTAAGCTTTTAAGCTTAATGAAAAGTCCCTAGGGGATTTCAAACAGGAAAAGCTTTAGAAATAACAAAGATATCAAAAGAAGAAACTTATTTGCATGTTTTCACCTAATTTTAGTCATAAGCATACTGGAAAGAAACTAAATCTAACTTGAAATTCTGATCTAATATTGACATTCAAAACATTCATGAATCATCAGATGTTTAATAAATGTTTATAAATCACAATTCTCAGAAATGCAATATGCAATCCTTTTACTGTTATTAACAGACATACTTTTAAAAGTTGACATCTATCCCCAAATTACCTAATGCCTTAGCAAAGATTTATATTTTCATAACTAAAAAAAAATTACCATCTTAAGTGGAGATTTACTTGCTGAACATGAAAGAGTTAAACAGCATATACACACCTCAAATTCTGGTAGAATAAAATTAGCACTCTAATAATTGACAAATTTGAGAATATTAGTGCCTATAAAAGTACTTAAAAATAAAAATGTAGTCACAATTACCAAAGAAAAAAGAAAACTGTAGGGCTCTAAAGTTTGATTCTTCTGCCTGAGGACAGTTCTCCAAAGGAGAGAGTTAAAAGAGGAGAAATGAATTATAATCTCTCTCAATTTTTTTCCATGTGATTGTTTTACAACATTAACAACAATCCAAATACTATTTTGTTATTTTATTCAAAATCCATAAGAAAAAACCCTTATTTCCACTAATTTATATATAAGCTTCAGAATTAAATTGTAAAGCACCTACTGCTTACACCTTGGTTACCTAAGAGAACAGCAATAACTTTAAGCTTTCATTATATTTAAGATATACTGTAAGAATGGAAACAGAACATTCCCAACAAAAGGTTCTTCTCCATGAAATGCTATCCTTTATAATTATTATTCTTTATATTTACATAGCACTTCTACACAAGCTGTGAGGGAGTGTGCTATTTCCCCCTATTTTACAGATGTAGCAATAGTTAAAAATTTATTTTGTAAACAAATTAGCATATTATCAAGTGTGAAGGGCCCAAGAACCACTGCCTTATCAGTGAAAACACTCCTTCAAAGTTTGTTTTTTTCCCTGGGTAAGATCATATTACTGTATTTGTAATAGTTTACTACATGTACTGGATATTTATCATTTGAGGTATACTACTCTTTCTAATCAAAGAATCTCTAAGAAATCTGCCCTGATTATAAAACAAGACTCCATAATGTTCCCAGGTGCTTTTTATAATACTGGTGATTAAAGTCATAACCACTACATTCAGGGTGCATGTCTTTCCTTTTGTAAATTGGATAGTGACCTAAATCAATGGACCTTTTGGCATTATTATGGTATTTCTAGTTGCTTGAGCAGATTAGCATAAGATAACTATTCAAGTTTTCTGATATGAAAGCTTTAAGTTACAAGAGATATACTGAACATAATATTTTATGGAATGAGGAAAGAAGCAGTATTTGTGGATCCCCAAATTTATCAAGGGTCACATATCAAGTTTCCCTCAAGGACTCTACCCAACAAAAGGACTAATACTAAGGATACTGTTTCTTGCTTTTAAAGATGGAGGTAATGTGATGCAATGAAAAGCAGAAGTAGGCCTAAGAAGTCTATTGTTCAAATCTCAATTTTAATACTTTTTGAGTTGTACTGGGAAAGTCCTTTAACCACTCTGAGCTTGAGTGTGAGTACCTTCACTACCTGCCTTCAAAGGACTCTTGTGAGTAAAAGACCTTTTACATATTAATTACAAATTTGAGTTTTTACTGTCATTTTAAATAGGTAATATGAAATTTTAACATCTCTTTAATCTGTTTTTAAATAGTTCAAGTTGAACTAAAATAATTTTCTCTTTACTTTCTTTCAAAAATTGATTAATACTCATTCTCTTTTCAAACTCCTCACAATTTTCAAAAGAGTTACTCTATATAAATTCTTGATGCTCCTACAGGATCATAATATAAAAGCTAAATTAAGAATAAGACCCCAGGAGGGGTGGAGCCAAGGTGGCAGAGTGAAAGCACTGACATGCTTGAGCTCTCCCCCAAACCCCTCCAAATACCTGTAAAAAAAAATGGCTCTAAACAAATTCTAAAGCAGCAGAACCCACAAAAAGACAAAGTGAAACAAATTTCCAGCCACACAACCTGGATAGTTGATTGGAAAGGTATATCGCACCAGGTAGGGAGAGGAGCGCAGTGCAGCGTGGGCACGCAGGCAACCTGGAGCAGGCCTCAGGGGACTGAATCGCAGGCAGCTGTAGTGGTTTCCAGACTTCTCAACCCATGAACGCCAAAGACAACTCAGAAGGTCAGTGGGAAAAGTCTGTGACTGTGGTGAGAGGAGGAGCTAGGTCTCAGCCACAAGTCCTGAATGCGGCCTCTGAGGCAGCAGCTGCCTCCTTAGCTTCCAGCCCACAGACTGAGGGGGGTGGTCTGGGGTGAGGAGCAGTGCTGGTGTGGTGGAGCTTGTTGTGGAGGTGGAGAGGAAACACCTCATCCCTTATCATACCACCTTGAAAGAACTGAAAATTTCCAGGTCCCTAGAACTATCTCTGAAAACAGCTATACAAACCCCCAAAGTTTGGAACAGTACATTCTCCACATCAGAAGCAGACTCTTACCTTAACAAAGAGTTTAAAACTCAAGTAATCGGCCGGGATCATGAATAAGCAGCGCAAAAAGAGTCAGACTATATTACCTTACTTTGGTGACAAAGAAGATCAAAACATACAACTAGAAGAAGATGACAAAGGCAAAGCTCCCACATCCAAAGCCTCCAAGAAAAATATGAATCAGTCCCAGGCCTTGGAAGAGCTCAGAAGGAATTTTGAGAAGCAAGTAATAGAAGTGGAGGAAAAACTGGGCAGAGAAATGAGAGTGATGCAAGAAAATCATGAAAAACAAGTCAGCTTGCGAAAGGAGACCCCAAAAAATACTGAAGAAAATAACACCTTAAAAAATAGCCTAACCCAAATGGCAAAAGAGGTCTAAAAAGCCAATGAGGAGAAGAACGCTCCAAAAAGCAAAACTGGCTATATGGAAAAGGAAGTCTAAAAGATTACTGAAGAAAATACTTCCTTAAAAATTAGAATAGAGCAACTGGAAGCTAGTGACTTTATGAGAAATCAAGACAGTGTAAAACAAATCCAAAAGAATGAAAAATTAGAAAACAATGTGAAATATCTCACTGGAAAAACAACTGACCTGGAAAATAGATCCAGGAGAGAGAATTTAAAAATTATTGGACTATCTGAAAGCCATGATCAAAAAAAGAGCCTAGACATCATCTTTCAAGAAATTATCAAGAAAAACTGCCCTGATATTTTAGAACCAGAGGGCAAAATAGAAATTGAAGGAATCCACCGACCTCCTCCTGAAAGAGATCCCCAAAGGAAAACTCCTAGGAATATTGTAGCCAAATTCCAGAGTTCCCAGGTCAAAGAGAAAATATTGCAAGCAACTAGAAAGAAACAATTCAAATATTGTGGAAACACAATCAGGATAACACAAGATTTAGCAGCTTCTACATTAAGGGACCACAGGGCTTGGAATATAATATTCCGGAGGGCAAAGGAGATAGGATTACAACCAAGAATCACCTACCCAGCAAAACTGAGTATAATCTTTCAGGGGAAAAAATGGTCATTCAGTGAAATAGAGGACTTTCAAGCATTCTTGATGAAAAGACTAGAGCTGTATAGAAAATCTGACTTTCAAATACAAGACTCAAGTGGAACATGAAGAGGTAAACTGGAAAGAGAAACCATAAGAGACTTATTAAGGTTGAAGTGTTTACATTCCTGCATGGAAAGATGATATTTGTAACTCATGAGACCTTTGTCAGTAATAGGATAGCTGTATGTATGTATGTATGTATGTATGTATGTATGTATGTATGTATGT